TTATGTTTATATTTATAAATGAAATACTTTAGCTTAGTGTAAGAAATTTTAAATTAGTTAAGTTTTACCAAGGGTGCCTAAAACATCAAAATTCAGTTTATAATGGCATATATATATATATATATATATATGCCATTTTTATGAATATCAACCTCATGAATGAAATAGGATTACAGGTAAAACAAAAATATATTTATAAATGAAATACTTAAGCTTAGTGTAAGAAATTTTAAATTAGTTAAGTTTTACCAAGGGTGCCTAAAACATCAAAATTCAGTTTATAATGGCATACTTTAAAGTTTCAATCTTCTTATTTAATGATATGCAACGTCAATATCTATTTCATATAAATGTCTCTTGGAGATGCTATTCCAATGAAAACAACCATACATAAGGTATGGTGGCTCACACCTGTAATCCCAGCACTTAGGAGGCTGAGGCAGGAGGACCACCATGAGTTCAAGGCCACCTTGGGTTACACAGTGAATTTAAGGCCAGCCTGAACTACAAAGTGAGACCCTATGTCAAAAACAAAAACCCACAACTAAAAAAACCCCCATATATTTAGAAATTTTTCTTTTCATTAAAAACTGTTTCAATTAAGCCATAAGTCCATTCCTTTATATTATTGTCCTTAGTCATATATTCGCCTATATTAGACAACCCTTCCACCATTATTATAGACTTTCATATCTCTTTATCAAACTAAAAATAAAAGAAAGCAACCAATTCCATCCTAAAAGACTTGACAAAAAACTTCTATGAAAATTTCTGTATTTACAAAGATATTCACTACAGGGTAATTTATAATCATAATGAATTTTAAATAATCAAGGAATCTGAAAATAAATTATATATACACATTTTGAAAAAACAAAACAATTATACGAGTTCTATCTGGGTAGTGATTCTTTCTTGTAACTTTAACTAGTTTGATAATCAAAACCTATATTATACACTTTTTTAAAAATTATGGAAAGTTTGTTGAATTAACCTTTAGAAAAGAGATACAAAGAATATAATTATTCAAAAAGTATGTTGTAACCCAAAAATACTTACCTTTATATCAAAAGGTGATTTTTTCTTGATGTGAGGAGCCCAGTATTTACATGCTAACTGTAAAAGTAAACAATATGAGCAGTAAGTTACATTTTCACGCCACCACAGAGCTGGAAGGCTCAGATCACTTAGCAAAGCACTGTTTCTTAGCAAAGTGGTTACTAGTCTAGGGTGACAGAGAGGTTCTAAACGGACTATGCTGGCAGGGGCTGGTTAGAGCCTTGGCCCCAGTCTATGAAAGTTCCAATGGGACTGTACACTGCACCTTGCCACTGTGATTCAAAAAACAAAACAAACAAACAAAAACCTATCTTTCCAGCAACTTCTAGGGTAACAGTACAGCTCAGTAGATAACCATGAAATCAAACATCTTCAGCATGGTGATAAGGATACCCAGGTCTAGAAAGATTAAGTGATCTGCCCAATATTACAATTAGTTAATAGTTAAGCAAGTACTAAAAACCAGATTAAAAATCTTTATGAATATGTAAAAAAATACATGTTTCAACCTTTAAATGATTACTATAGACCCAGATACACAAACTCTTTTAAAAATTTGTAGTCTATGAACTGCCATATTTCAGCAAATTCAGTTTCACTTAGAAATTTAAACACACACACCCTCACAGATATATATATAGATATATATATATATCTATATATATAGTCTCTCCAGATATTGACATGGATTGTATAATATTCAAGAAACATATTCTTACTGATTTTTTTTTAAAAACTAAAGTACAGAGCTGGGGATTTATCTCAGTGGTTCTGCCACCTACCTCGAAAGTGCAAGGTCCAGAGTTCTATTCCTGGTACCAAAAAAAAAAAATCTAAACTACAATCTTTTTAAAAATAGAAAACTCTGGCAAACACAAGATATTTATATATTTATAAATCTGAATGCTTACTTATCTTTTTCCTTATCTAAAAGAAACACTGCAGTAATGGTGCCTATGTCTTCTTTACTTGTGTAGCTCAGCTCCTAACACAATCAACATCTTTAAAAGAGCGGGGCCATGGATTTAGCTCAGTGGTTCCGCGGCCTGTCTTGCAAGTGCAAGAGTTCGATCCCCGGTACCAAAAAGAAAAAAAAAAAAAAAGCCCCTCAATTAGTTAGGACACCGGCCTCAGGAAAAGCATCTAAAAAAACGTGCCCTCTTACAAGACACTTTCCAAATCAGCAAACACTCTGCCATAGAATATCTTCACCTCACCCCTATTTATTCTGTGGAACTGTCATTTCCTTGTTCTGCCCCTTGAAGACCTCACAAACTCAGCAATCTTCTCCTTGGATCACACCTCCAAAGAACTAAGTCTAATTTGTCGGTAAATTCAGGGACTTACAAATAAAAATGTTAGCCCTAACTTCTGACTTAAACTACTTACTGTAAATCTATCTTGAGTAACAATCTAGCAATGTTCATTAAGCATTTATCATCTTTTTCTGGGGGTCTAATCCATCTCTCAGATACCATGCCCCTCAAGGACATCTGCCTATCTCTAAACTCTTCAGTCTCGTGTAAACCAAACAAACGCTTTGCATTCTCCACTTAGTACAGCTACAACTGCAGATTATTCAAAATAGTCCCTACTGAAAGACAAAAAATACTCTAAACAAAAATAGAAAAAAATGCTCTAAACAGCATAAAAAATGTGAGGTCATAAAGTTCAAACCTTTGATCTTTAAATTTTAATTTAGCAATCTCATTTGTTCGATAGGTAATTAAAAGCACCTTCTCTAATTCTGTTCTCAAAGTACTTCCCTCATATTTCTATTCTGTCATTTCTCATATTAAACAATGGCAGTTCTTTCTATCTCTTAAAAATCTCCCAGAAGAAAAGGACTACCTTCCTTCGAAGCTTAGAAGCACCCACACATTATCTGGCAAATATCCAGTATTAATGTTTGCTACTGTGGCCCAAGACTGCCAAGAACCTCCATTCCTTCCACTACACCTTAAGCTGTATAGTATGTCTGTTCATTAATTCACTCATCCATTCATTCAACCAGTACAACACCAGGGGCTGGGAGTACACAAGAGAATAAAAGAGACTTGCTCCCTAGATACAGCTCTCACAATCTAATGCAGGACAACATGTTCTCTAGGTTTTATCATTTAGTTCTACAACTTCACATTGGGTCAATAATTCCCAAATTTATGTTCAAGCTCAGGTCTTGCCAATATTCTCTAGCCTCACACATTCAACTGGCTTCTCAATACTTTCCATTAAATGTCTAGTAGGCACCTCACCCTTAATGTGGCCAAAACAAAATGCTTGATTTTTCCCACTATACCTTCTCCTTTCCTGGTCTTCCTCATCTTACAAAATGTCTAAACCACTCACCCAGTTGTTTCAACTGTCCTTAATTCATCTTTCCTCCGCTCCTTCACAATACATAACTATCAAGTACTACTGCCTCCAGTTTCAGAATATAACTAATGCACTTCATCTTTAAGAGTAGGGGCTCCCTCATCTCTTACCTGTACTAACCCTATTGCTAACCCTATTACTACTTTTGCTCCCTCATGCCTGTCCAATTTCCAAACTTTAGCCACAAGGATCTTTCAAAAATATTACTCACCAAATTATACTTCTTAGCCTCCAAACTGTACATATAATCTGGTCCCTATACATTGTCCTATCCTCATCTCATACCCTTCTCACTCACTTTTTTTTTTGAGACAAGCTCTTGCTATGTAGTGCTTTGAGCTCACTATGGTAGCCCAGGCTGGACTTGAACCTGTGGCGATCCTTCGGCCTCAGCATTCTGAATGCTGGGGAGTGCTGGGATCACAGGTGTGCACCACCATGCGCAGTCTCCCTCTCATTTCTTACATTCCAGCCACACTAGCCTTCTCCACTGTCACATCCTGAGGCACTCACACTTACTACGCTCTGGACCGTTTCCTTGTTCTTCCCAAAACTTGCCCCTTCTTTGCAGTCAGGTGTTAGCTCAAATGTTAACAGAGAGACTGCTTTTTATACACTCTATCTGAGCCACTGTCACAGCATCCTGTGTCATTTTCCTTAGAGCACTTATTAATAATCTCTGAAACTATAACCTGGCTCTTCCTTCTAAAAATGTGAGCTCCACTAGAGCAGCCAACCAATTAGTTTTACCACAAAAATACAGGTATATGGGGAAAGGGAGCTGTGGTGTAGTGTAAGACGTCATTAAAAAAAAAAAAGCCCCTCTAAAAGCCGGACGTGGTAGTACATGCCTGTAATCCCAGCACTCGGGTGGCGGAGGCAGGAGGATTGTTTGGAGTTTGAGGCCAACCTGGGCTAAACAGCGAGACTTCCAAAAAACAAAAACAAAAACAGAAGCCTCTCTAAAATGTAAGAGAATGAAAATAAAATAAAAGAAGATGGGTTAAAGTAAGGAATCCACACAGGAAACGATGAAAATTCAGGAAGTGAAATAAGGCATGGCACATTCAAATAATTGCAGCTCATTATAGTTAAGGGAAGGGAGAGGAAAGAGAAGAAACTGAAGGTATAAACACAGAGCAGATCACATAATGCTTTGAAGTATTGCAGTCATTATCCTACGGGCCATCAGAGCTGTGTAGATTTTAAGAAGACAAGTGACGTGATCAGTTTGCACTTGTGGTAACTCAAGACAGCAGCAAAAAACATGGCTGGAGAACAAGAGGAAAGACAAGATGACAGGTTGGTCCAGGCAAAAAACAGTAACCTGACTCAGGGTTACAGAGGCATAAAAAAGCCTCTGTATTTAAGAGATACTTAGAATGCAGAAATGTGGGCATTAAGGGAAAGGGAGGACTCAAAATGATCCCTAGGCTCTGCCTCGGCAAATCTGAGACAGGAAGGATAGAAAAAAGAAGCCATCGAGGGACTGAAATACTTATACTCCCACCCAATTACTAAGTAACTAATAAGGATTAGGGATGTTGCGGAAGGCTACAAGATTGTTTCTCCAGTCAAAGACAACTATGGCTCACAATGCAAGACAATTAAGACATCTCTTCATAGATGGATCTACTAAATAACCTTGTCAGATTATCATTCTGCTTGAAAATCTAGGTTAGTCCACGGCCGGGAAAATGCCTACTCCTCCCTCAAGACTAGCTTTCTTGCCAATCTCAGATAAGACTGTGACGTTTCGTCCTCTCTGAATCCACTCCTTCTTCGACAAAGTCTCAAATAGCAAAACTACACAAGGAGTTTTCTTTGTATATCTTTCCTGGACAGTGAACCCCTGGCTGGGCGATTTCTTTCATCGTGTTATTCCCAGCACCTAGCGCAGTGGCCACCACATAGGACATATCCAGCAAAAACACTTCAATGAATGAAACAGCCAACAAACGCATTCTGCAGGCTCCCAATTCAGGAGACTATCCCACCCCAGGCCTCGGGGCCTCGACTTCCTTAGCCCCTACACACATACACACACGCCTGGCCGAGCTTACCTGTGTTACGAACTCCGCGTTGATCTGGGACACCGTAGGGGCCACGATTTTCTTGGGCTGCGCAGGGGCCGCCATCGCTGCACTCTCCTTCCACTCCGGTGGAAAATGAAAGCACTGCCGGGAAGCAGGGGCCCAGTGCACTTCCAAGTATCACCTGCCACGCCGAGGCCACCACCGAGATCCGCGAGCGCAAACGTCTCGTACGCACAGTCCCACCAAAAACCAGCACAGCGGTACCCGCGCTCCTCGGAAACGGAACAGAGTGGGGCCGGAAGTCAGTGCAGACGTTGTGAGTGAGCTAGAAGGCCCATGGCTTCGCCCTCCTCACTCGCTCGCCCCCTGCCGGTTAGCCAGAAGAAAACACCGGAGCACAGAATCTGGATGACCGGAAGGGCGTCCGATGATGGTGTTGGGTGAGAGTTTCTTGTGATTAAAGGTCGGGGTCGGAGTACTGGGCATTGTGGTTTCTTTCAACCCTAAGGGAAACAAAGGTGTAAAAAAAAATACACTAGGAATCCGAGGCCTTCTTTTAACTCTTTAACAGCTTTATGTTGGTACAAATTGATACGTTTTGACATAGTAATACATCCATGAAACTTTATATAAATGAAATATCATAGTATGTACCTTTCTTCTTCTTTCACCCAACAAAATAATTTTGAGATTTGTCCATAATTTTGCATGTAACATTCATTCACTTCTTTTTTGGCTTACTAGTATCCTATTTTTTAGACATACACAGTTGCTTAATGTGTTGATAGACATTCGTGTTGTTCCTAGTTCTTGGTCATTGCAAATAAGGCTCCTATGAGCATTTATGTATAAGTATTTATGAGGGCACATTAATACCTAAAAGTGAAATGGCTAATGATATGATAGGTGCATGTTTAACTTTTTAAGAACTTGACAGATTTCCAAAGTAATTGTACATCAGTAACAGATAAGACAGTTTTTTTCTCATCCTCACCAACAATTAATATGATCAGTTTATAAAATTCTATCCATTTTCATAGTATGTGATGAATCCCATTGTGGTTTAATTTACATTTCTCTAATGAATAAAAATGTTGAATATCTTTTTGTGTGCTTATTAGCTGTTCATATACTTCTCTTTAGAGAAGTATCTGTTCATGGTTTTTTTACTTGTTTCTTAATTGGATTGTTTGTTTTCTTGTTCCTGAATTTGAACGCACACCCTTACCATTCACAAAGTAATATATAGATTAAGCATCTCTATTAAACTCTTCCTGAAAGAACACAAGCAGGAAACTTTTAACACTATTGCCCCCAAGGAGGAACAGAGAGGAGAAAACAGGAATGAGGATGGCTTATTTATATATATATATATATATATATATATATATATATATCTCAATCAAAAACAATGTGAAAGAAGAAACAAAGTGTCTGTAGGCCTGGAGATTACAAGTATAAATCTAGTCTTTTTTCTTCTACCTTTTATTGTACAAAGTTTGTTTATAGAACAGACATGTGGATCAATGGAACAGAATAGAGGATATAGAAACATCCTCAGCCACATTCAGCTATTTACCTTTGAAAACGGGGCCAAAAGCATACATCGGTGGAAAGATAATCTATTTAACAAATGGTGCTGGGAAAACTGGATATCTGCTTGTAGAAGACTGAAGCTTGACCCATATCTCTCACTATGTACTAAACTAAAATCAAAGTGAATAAAAGGACTAAAATTAAAACAGAAACACTGAACCTACTGAAAGATAAAATAGGTATGACTTGAAGTCATAGATGTAGGAAAGGATTTTCTAAACAAAACCCCAGTTACACAAGAAAAAGCAGGAAGAATCAACAAGTAGGATTACATCAAATTAAAAAGCTTCTGCACAGCAAAGGAATCAGTAGAGACAACCTACAGAATGGGAAAAAAATTTTGCCAGCTATTCCTCAGGACTAATATCTAGAATATACAAAGAACTTTTAAAAATGACACCAAGTTCAATCCCTGGTACCAAAAAACAAAACTAAACCCAAAAAAATGAGATATACTATACAATACAGTATAGAGATACTATCTAAGGGGACTAAAATGCAAATTAAAACAATGCTAAGATTCTATCTTATATCAGAAAGAATGGCAATCATCAAGAAGTCAAAGAATAACAGATCCTGGCACCACTGCAGTGAAAAAGGAACCTTCCTGCATTGTTGACACTGTTGAGCGGGAATGTAAACTAGTACAACCATTATAGAAATCAACGTGGTGATTTCTCAAAGAACTAAAATTAGAAATTCCACATGACCCAGCTATTCCCCTTCTAGGTATCTTCCCCAAAAAGCTAAAGACATCATACTACAGTGATAAATGCAAACCAATATTTATAGTAGTACACTTCATAATAGCTAAATCCTGGAAGCAGCCTGTATGCCATCAACAGATGAATGGATAAAGAAAATGTGTTATCTATACACTATGTAATACTACTTGGCTATAAAGGGGATAAGCTTGAGACATTTGTAGAAAAATGGATGTACCTGGAAAATATAATATTGCATGAAATAAATAAGACCCACAAACTTAAATACTGTATAGTATCTCTCATTTGAGTAAGGCAAAGTACAAAGATCATAATAAAGGATGGATAGAAGGAAACAAAGGAGTGGATCTCTTGCAAATTGGAAGGGGTCCAGGAGACCAAGTGAGAGGGGAGAAGGGAAGGGAAGGGAAAGTAAGAAGAAATAAGATATGCCATGTACAGGAACCTAATAACCTCAGTGAACATAAACATGAGCTAAGAATAATAACAAGAATGAACATGGAGAAAGGGGATTTTAGAAGCAGAGGGAGGCAGTGGATGGGAAAGGGAAGGGGATTTTTTTTAAAACCATATTATGTATATGTACCTACTCCCAAAGATGAACGTAAACTTCATGTACTAATAAACTTTTTAAAGTTTGGACTGGGGATGTAGCTCAGTGGCACCGTGCTTGCCTGGCAAGCACAAGGTCCTGAGTTCAATCCCATCCCTGCCTGGCAAGCTCAGCACCACTCAGCTAAATCCCAGGCCAAAAAAAAATTTTTTTAAGCTTTTTAATTTTATAGAGCTAGGGATAAAAATTTGTATGATCAAAAAATTGTATGATCACAATTTTAAATATAACAGATTTTGAATATATAACTACTAGCATTTTATTTCCAGAAGTAGAGTCTATATATAAACAGTAAAATAAGATTTTCTAATGGTTTTAATGATAACTTTTTTTTTTTTCTCTTTGGTGTATGACTTTATTCAGAGAATGCAATGCTTTTGAGATTAATCCATGTTGGTATACAGCAATAGTTCATTTCTTGTTTGTTGCTAATCATATTACATTATATGGATATGCCACAATTTTTTTATTCCTTTATGGCTCGATTGACATTTATTTTCAGTTTGGAACTGTTAGGGATAAAGCTTTTCTGCATATTGACATACGTTTTTGCATGGACTTATGTTTTCATTTCTTTTTTTTTGTATTAAATTCTTTTATTGGTACATTGTAGGTATACAACACAATTACATTTCTCATTGGGAATTGTACCTTTACATAACGCATCTTGGTTCTTATTTTTTCCCCATTCCTAGCCCTCCCTTCACGCCCTCCACCCTTCCCTATTTACAAAGACTTTATTTCCATTTTTTCCTTTCCCTTGTTTCCTTTCCCCTGCCCCTCCCACTACCCCTACCCCTTTGGACCTTTTCTTCCTATTTTGCATTATCGATTATTCATTCTAATCATAGGTACGTTTTAGGTATACAGTATAATGACATTCATCATTGGAAATTTGCACCTTTACATAGTCTCTCTTGGTTCTTATTTTTCACCCTTGCCCAGCCCTCCCTTCAACCCCTCCAGTCCTCCCTATTTACAAAGATTTTGTTCCTATTTTTCCATTTTCTCATATTAATCCCATTCCCTTCTATCCTTTCCCCTAGCCCTCCCACTTCCTTCCCCTTTGCCCCTTTTCTTCCTATTTCACATTACCTATTATACATTTAGTCCTTATTTACACTTTCAGTTTCTCACACCAGAGAAACTATTCGGTATTTACACGTGTGTCCTATTTATTTCACTTAAGAGTATTGCCTCAATGTGCATCCACTTAGCTATAAATGTCTCTAATTTCTCATTTTTCATGGCTGAGTAGTACTCCATTTTATAAAAAAAACCACATCTTCTTTATCCAGCCTCCAGTTGATGGGCATTTGGGCTGTTTCCAAGTTTTAGCTATTACAAACTGTGCTGCTATGAACATGGGTGCACATATATCACTGTGGTATGATTCTTTTAATTTTGGGGGGAAGAGCCCCAGCAGTGGAATAGCGGGGTCAAATGGGACGCGTGGACAGACCTGCCTGTCTGCAGCGGGCCGACTTGGCATCTTAATGTTAACTCTTGATACATGAACATAACTGCAGAGATTGTATTTTTCATCTGTGTTACTTGTAGGATAATCCCTTGGAAGCAGATCATGCTGGGGAAGTTAGTAGACAATAAGGACTGAGGTCTTGAAAGCTAGGGAACAGAGACTGTCTTATTGTAAAATACCATAGGAAACCACTGGTTGAAAATTACTTTTAGAAAATGAATTTTCAATGGTATTTAGAAAGGTTAGAGTAAGTAACATGAGCATGGGACTACAAGCTGGGTAACAATTGAAAATCTAAGACCAATGTTAAAAGTCCTAAATTTAGGTTCTGCAGTAAAAATTAAAAGAAAGAATAAATGTGGAAGACCCTAGAGAGCCAGAGAAACTGCTAAGTAGTTTGTAGGAATGGTGGAAGCCTAAAAGCACATGGATGAGAGGGCAGAGTAGATTTTGAAGAGAAGATTATTCTTTTTATAAAGAAACAAGACAAAGGTTCAGGTGGTGATAGTTTATTTTCCAAGTTACCTATTTATTAAACTCATGTTCTCCCTTGATCTTGTGACCAAAAGTATTAAACCAATAAAATCCACACCCTATGTAGCTTTCTAGTGGTCTATGTGCATGAGTCTAATCTATAATACCTAGCAGATTTATTACTAAAATACATATGGTGATCTACACCTATCTGTGTACATCTATTTATCTCACTGTTTTTCTTAGCTAAGTTTTTGACTGATGAGATTAGACATTTTAAAAATTAGGTGTATTTTATAGTTTCTCGTGTATTTTACAAGCTTTCTATATTTTGTGAAGAAAGCAAAAGAACTGGGTAATCAAAAAAAGAGGCTTCAAAGAAATCTAAAAGGACAAAAATTTCATAAAGACCATAACTCTAGCAATATTACTGACCATTATTATGTAGCATATTTTAAGGAAAAAAAATTAAAATTGTCTTAAAGAAAATCTCTAAGCATAAATAAAGTCAAGTGACAAGTTAGGTTTCAGGCAGTTGATCAAGTTTCCAGCTCCATTTCTGACTTTTTTGGGGGGAGGGAGGCATTGCTCCTCACCTATTCTGCTGGAGGTGTTTTCATCAGACTGGCCTACCCTATGGTACCAAAGGGCAAAGAGCTTCCATTTATCACTTTTCCTAAAACTGTCACTGAAATAAGTACAGGTTTCACTCTCATCATCTCAACTTAGGTCAGTTTTTATCCCTGAGCCAATTTGTCTGGCTCAAACCTGGGTTGCCTATTCCCAAATATTTGCGATGGCAAAGGGGGAGATATGAATATTCCCGAGGTGAACTCCACAGGTCAGCCATCTTTGCTTCATTCACAGCTGCACCCCAGCCACTATCCAAATATAAATATATACAGTACGTAAAGACATCTTGGGTTGGGGTTTTTTTTTTTTGCAAGTTTTTAGGCTTGTTCTAGAAATCTGTGCTGCCTATATTGTATTGGTCTTTCCTATAGGTATTTTTAAAAATAAACAGCAAATACAAAATAAATGATGGTTTATAATTACTTCATGTTAATTTCTTCCTTCATGAATTCAATAGACTGACTCAGCTAAGTACCTTGAGTAGAATGTGAGTCTGTGTCTAATTTCAATTAATACTAGATAGACAAGAGACCAAAAAAAAAAAAAAGAACAGCATTTTGTTTTTGTTTTTGATACCAGGGATCAAACTTAGAACCTTGAGCTTGCGAGGCAGGCGCGGGTGCCACTGAGCCAAATCCCTGGCCCTAGAACAGTATTTTTTTCAGAAGCAAATTCTATATTTCTTCAGTACAAATCTCAAGGGCAAGGCCAAGGAGAATGGGTTTATAGATAAGTAGGTTGATCATGTGATATGCAATGGAGTTAACATATTCTTTTGTAGGTGACAAGTAGCTATCACATAAATGTAAATAGGGAAGTAAATTTTTAAATATCCATGGAAGTTCAGTATGAGAAATCTATTGGACTGGGCCTATATAAGTCTTTGAAAGTCAGTCAGTATCTTGTTCCAATACTGTGATTTTTCTTTAAAAAAAATAAGTACTAACTGTGTATCTTGAAACTTTTTCAAAGTACTGTTTTGAGAAATTTGATTTTCAAGAATTTTATCCACCATCCACTTCCCATCAACACATATGGTTTTAGCTTAAAATTTTCTGACCTATTGCAGAACAAAACAAAAACCTATAATTCTAACTCAGCTAATCAAACTCCTCCAGTAAATAATCATGCTACAGCCTGGAATCACCCCCCAAAAAAAACTCTACTTCTCTTCAATGATATTTATAGTTTATTTTTCCAGAAAACCAAAGTAATTGATTCAACAATACTAATAGGTCTAGCATGCAGCAAACCATCTTTTAACATCTGTTTAATCTTTTTAACATGGTTTCATACTTTATTTTCACTCCTATAAAGTTTCCATAAGAAGCTTGCAAAGATAATAAAGGTAAATAAGTATTTTGTTACAGGTACTTCAAATAGCACTACAGTACATTTTTGACAAAATTTTTTACAATATACCAACTTTCAATATGAAACAGCTTAAAAAGGCATGAGCCAAAAAAAAAAAAAAAGTAAAATAGTAGTATCACTAAGGCAAATAAAATCTGAGTCATACAAGCACAACATTCAGAACTCTTCCTGTTTGGACTGGGAAAGGAGTATGTAAGATATTTCCTTCAAGTAAAATTTTACAACAGCTTAGGGAAATAGCAAAATCCATGATTTCAGGCATGGTAATGAACTCTTTAACTTTTATTCTAAGAAAATATTAACTAATTACTCCTTGCTTTTATGTAATAGGTGTATTCTTGAAGAGTTTTGGATAAAGCAAATTCTGTAAACCACATCTTGCTTGCACTGGAGATAGTTCAAGGAAACAAATTATCCTCTAAAGCATGTAATTCTCCTGCTTCAGCTGGATGTCTCTCAAAATATAGGGCCATTTCCACATCACTGAGTCTTTTACTTATATTGTCATATTTCATTTCTATAAATTAAACTCAAGGTACCTAAAACTCACTTGTGGTAAAGGAAGCCACCCCCCCCCGCCCGGTTCCCAATGACAAATCTTAAATATGATGCAAACTTACAATTATTTATCCACATTCTCAATAGAGGGCTTCTTACTATATTTAAATGTGCTAAGATAAATACCCACCTGCTTTTCTTTACACCTTAGAAACACAATGGTTCACTTTTTTATTGCTACAAAATGTCATTCCTAAAGATTTTACAAATAATGGCAAATACGAAGGACAATGTATGATTATGAAATTGGTCCCTGATAGTTTAGGATTACACAGGTTATCTTCCCAATTAAAATTAAAATAAGGACCAAAGTAATTCTTTAGGATTAGCATAATAAAAACTAAAACTAGATATGGTCATTCCCATTTGATCAACCTTAGTAAATCAACCTTAAGTCAAAGACCACTGAAAGAAGCATTAAAACAAAGTCCCACTAAAGTAAGTCTTCTGGGAACAGTCTTTTGAGTCTTGTTTACAATGATTGCTTTCAACTACTGTATTAACAAGCAAATAAATGAATTGCATTCATCCCTCTGAAAAGACAAAACTGCATATATGATAAATTATGGCACCTGAAAAATATTCCTGGTAAGTAAACATGATAAATGTATGCAGGTGCATCTTGTCCTCTTTTAAAATCCTTTGGGGAAGTTAATAGCCGCCTGAACCAAAAATAAAATAAAACCTTCATCATCTGAGCACCTGAAGGTGGTAAAAATTTTCACATAATTCTAAGAATAGCTTTGAAAAGTCTGATTAAAATGCTATAATTTTTTCATTCATACTCGTACTTTAAATTGCAAGAAAAATGTTTTACAAAAAAATTAGAGCCATAGGTGGACAAATTATCCTTTAATGTAAAATATATGAACTATAAACGCTATTTGCCGCAGCTAAAGCGGAATTTTCACCTCTTCTGAGTATGTCTATTCAAAAAGAGATGGCATATCTCAAGGAATAATTCCTTTTAAAAATGTGGCTGAACTGCTTGTACAACATCATGAATTTATAACTTTCAATATAGCCAAATAAATGTTTATGGAATCAAGCCATGTTCTTCCTTTCAAAAATTAATTTGGCTATTCCTAAAACATTGTATTAATTTTCTTTATATCTTACCACAGGACAAGCAACTGCCCATGAAATCATTCAATCTAATGCAGGCCTTTTGATAAAAATGTTTAAATGATACAAGACCGGCAGAGACTACAAATGTTAGTGGTTTTGACAGTTACATAATTGAATCTAATACAACTACTTTGTCTTGTGTTTGTTCTTTAAAGTGAGTGAGTTGATGTCTCTTCCAGTGAGGAGCCTGTCTGAATGTTTTGCCACAAACTGAGCATTCAAATGGTTTCTGCCCTGCATGGATTAGATAGTGTCTTTCCAGTTTAGATGGAGATCGGAAACTTTTACAGCAAACACTGCATTGGTAAAGGAGGCCATCATTTCTCTCAGGATGCCCTGAATTACTAAAACAATGAGGGCTCTGGTCTGATTCCAAAAGTGCATTAGAGACATAGGGCTGCTGGTTCCTACAGTGGGTACCAAGAATAAAATCCTCAGCTTCTTTTTTAACTTCTATTTCTGATGTTTGATCTGACTCTGAAAACTCGTATTTTTGAAAAGCAAGAGCCTGATACTGTTGGGAAGAATTATAGTTAACATTATCACTTGGATGAATGCAAAGAGATCTTCTATAAGGAATCTTTTCAATATGAGTTAGTTTATGTCTTTTTAAGTGAGCTGACTGTCTAAAAGATTTCCCACAAACATTACAGCCAAAAGGCCTTTGTCCAGTATGAATTAAATAGTGTCTTTGTAGTTTGGATATAGAAGGAAATACTTTCTCACATTTATCACAGGGACACATCTTATGCCCAGTATGTATGTTTTCACTTGGAAGTGAAAAACCACACTGAAGCATTTCACAGTTATTAAAGAATTCCTCAGTGGATGAACCATAGATTGCCAAGTCTTTATTATTCACTGAGCTATCTATAGTTAATATGCTTTCTGCTGTAAGGATACTTTTCAAATTTTTCCCCATATTTTGGCTCTGGAATTGCTTTTGCCAAGAAAATGGCAAAGGCAATGTTTTCTTTTTTTTATTGCCAACTGTCTTATATGTTCCATGTTTACCAAGAGAACCCATAAATCTTCTCTGAGATGCTTCAGAGTTCTGCTCACTAGAAATAAGATCACAATTTTTCAAGAAACTATGTTTATACGCTTTTTTCTCTGACCGAAAGTTATCTAATTTTTTGCCCCCAGCACGTTTAAGTTTGGCCAAGATCTTTTTAACAATGGTTTTATAGTTGTAGCTTCTTTTGAGTCTGCTTGGAATTTTGCCACCTCTGGCAGGAAAACACTTGTGTCCATTGAGAATCTGCTCTGATTCAAAACATTCTTCACACTCTGAACACTGAAAAGGGACAATATAAATAGAGTGGACATCAAGTGGATTATTCTCCTCAGGTTCACCCATATCACCATTTTCAAAACCATCCTGCTTTGCATTTAATTTATTAGGCAAGGGGCATGATTCTGGACGCTTCACCTTTAATGAAAGAGTCTGAAAAGTCTTATTCCTAGTATGGATTTGTTTATGCTTCAGAAGTTTGCTTTGAATCTTAAATCCTTTTTGACAAAAACAACATTGAAAAGGTCTTTCTTCTGAATGTGTGAGTTGGTGAATTTTTAAATGAGTTGACTGTCGGAAAGATTTACTGCACAGGACACATTTAAAAGGCCTCTGGCCAGTGTGAATAAGGGCATGCCTGTCAAGTTTGGATTGTGACGGAAACATCTTGCCACAGATTGTACACGCATGAATATTCTTTCTCTTCGTAGTGCCGTACGTGGGATCAGACTTAGAGCATGGGTGTAATGCCCATCTCTCCTCTGTAGTAAAAGTATTATACATTCCATACACTGGCTTTTCTTGCTTGGCCTCCAGCAATCTTCTGACTTGCTTAACATCATTCTGATAGGTTTCATTGTGAAATTGCTGGTGTTTTACAAACGTCTTCAGATTTTTAAAGTGGCGTTGACAAATACTACATTTAAAAGGCAGATTATGAGTTAGTTGATGCCTCTCCAGATGAACTAGTTGTCTAAAGGTTTTATGACACACATCACATTCAAATGGTTTTTGACCAGTATGAATGAGATAATGCCTAGCTAATTTTGACGGTGTTTCAAAGTGCTTGAAGCAAATATTGCAAATATATGGCCTGTTTCTAGGTAGTTTGCTGGATACTACACGCTGCTGAATCTTTAGCATTTTAAAATTGTTTTCAGCCATCATATTCTTCATTGATACACTCTGATGAGCTCCATATTGTCCTTAAATTCCATAGATGTCTAAAAATTAAAAAGAAGTATTAATTTACAAATTATTCATAGGAAAAGAAATTAAATTGTCCTTTGGCTGAAGATACTTAAAGTTAAAGGAGATTCTTGACTTACTTTGTGTTTAAAAGCAAACTAACAATCATTTTTAGATCAATTCATTAGAACCATTAAACTAATTTCATACATACAGAGATATGGTGACTATAGCAGACACTTTAAACTTCATGTAATTTTAGGACTAAAAGGTATAATAGATAATGTGAAATTGGAAGAAAAGGGGCAAAGGGGAAGTGGGAGGGGTAGGGGAAAGGAAAGAAGGGAATGGAATTAATATGAGAAAATGAAAAAATGGAAACAAAGTCTTTGTAACTAGGGAGGGGTGGAGGGGTTGAAGGAGGACAGGGGATGGGGGAAAAATAAGAATCCAGAGAGACTATGTAACAGTGCAAATTTCCAATGATGAATGTCTTTATATTGTATACCTAAAATGCACCAATAAAATAAAATTTTTTTAAAAAAGATTTTTTTCTACTTGAGAAGCTACATTAAAAGGGGACTAAGTTGAATTAAATAGGCTTTATGACTCCAGCTTTTCTAGTTCATTATATTTGTCAATACTTAGTTGCTTTGTCATTTAAAAAAATGGGCTAGAAGAGTAAAATGTGTTAGGAATTGAAATATACTAAAAATAAGATGCATTATATTATCATTATATATATTATATATATATATCATTATATATTCAATTATAGCATGTATCGTAGACATGTTCTGAGAATGGAATGTCTTACTTATCCAAGTTAGATTTTTTTTAGCTACAATAATACTATTTACTCTCAATTACTTCCTTATGTGAATAAAGTCAAGTAGGAGAAAATTCCAAAGACCTGAGTTTTAGTCGTGGATTTGTCACCATATGATCTTGGTCATGGAAAAAAAGAAATACAGATTCCTCATCTGTAAAGAATGCAAAATGTCATTTGGACTGCCTCCTATTCCAAGTTGCTATGCAAATCAACAGAGATAATGCACTTAAATAAAGCCTTACATTTATACATTGCTTGGAGACTGTAAAGCAATGTATAAATGTAAAATATTATTTAGGTAAACACTAATCAAATCTAAAATTTTATTCCTGACTGTTTAATTGTTGGGAGCAATGCTACATAATTTTAGGGAAAAACCATTTGATTAGGCCTAGTTCTCCTGCCTACAGGCCAGCTTTGGCATTTTGAGACATAATTCCAGTTTGGCCCCTGGTCACAACTGAGACTTCAATGATCCGGTGACGCTGTGATGCTCCAGGACAAGATTACACCAGCTGAAGACATCCTGGGAGGAACAAAATCTTCATCTACTCAGTTCCTCATTGTTCTTGGATTGTTACACTTGTTTATCCCGATGTACTGAACTCTTGGCAAGTTATTTGTTACACCTTGTTTATCCATATGTACTAAACTCTCTGCAAGTGATTTGTTATCTGTTTCTCCTGATGTACTGAACAAAAGATGCAGTTGCCACCCAGAGCAGCACTGATCAGATCGAAAGCTCAGCTTCTTCTCAAAGTCTCGTTTTTTTACCTTTCCTGTATAAAAAGTTAATTTGCCTTGTGCTACCATGGCTCACAGGAGACTAGGACTTACTGCAGAGGTCCTACTCATGTCCCCTTTCCCTGTTCCCTACATTTAATAACACATTTAGGATTTCTAAGAGATAAACCTACTGACTAAAGTTCTTTTTATTTCTCCTTTCTACTTTGTTGTAGTGTGTGTGTGTATGTACTTCTTGTGAAAAAAATCAACAGAACAAGTACAGAAAAATTAGGTTGACAAATTGCATACTTATTTATGAATAAATGAACATTGAGTGTGTTATACTTCTCAGACAACATAATAAAAAGGTCATTTTGGTCTTAAGAGTTAACATAAAGATAAAAATAACTTCTCTAAATGTCTCTGTACGACCCAGAAGTTTAACAGGCACTCTCACAATCATCTTACACACTATGTTCTCCTGTCTTAAAAGAGTACTTGATCTTCTCCTCGTTCTTCTATTATGGAATTGCCCTTAAATAAAGCAGACATTTAAAAAAAAAAAAAAGGATAGCTATGCCAGCTTTCTCATTCTAACATATCTTCTAGTTGAGATTAAACACACACACACACACAAACCAACCTAATAACCAGAAACTCAAAAGTTCTTTCGTCAGCTGATTTGGCAAATAACCAACACATACGCTGTTTACTATCTGTCTTCTTCTAGAAGATATCTTAAACACAAAATCAAATACTGCACACTGATTGTGGTTTTCTTCAACCATCTGAAGTATAAACAGAAAAAAAAAGGAGCAAGTATTTTGTTTTGTTTTTGGTACAGCGGATTGAACTTGGGACCTTGTGCTTGCGAGGCAGGCGGCAGAACCAACCGAGCTAAATCCCCGGCCCGAGCAAGTATTTTCTACTAGTTGCTTTACACTAGTGTTTTTCAAACTGCAGGTCATTATTCCTTATTTAACTATAAAGTTAACTTAGTGGATCATGAACAACATTTTGTTTGATAAAATAAACTATAAAGTGCTAGAACACATACCGTATAGCAAGGGTAAATACTGTTTTATAAAACTTTTAGAAAAAAGTAAAAAAAAAAAAGTTTGTTAAAGTTATTCCTGTGTCTTGACACACAGAGGAACCTATAATAAAATCAATTACCTATTTACAGTGGCCAAGTAATCTATTAGGAGATAAAGATTATGAGAATCAGTGTCCGGTTTTCTAGTATTCATATTACCTCAAAGTATTTAAAAATCATCTAATGAGAAGTCAAATGGAAAATGCCACACAAATACATGCAAAATAATATGACCATAAGCCACTATATTCATTTATGAAATACATCATATAACCCAGCAACAATCAACAAACCATAGTAACAATTACCTGTTAGTGCCATGAATATGCATTTTCACTACACTGTACTAGAGAAATTACAGGTGAACAGCCTCTAAAAAGCCTAAACATGCTGCATAGAGCAAAAGCCATATGGATTAAAATTAAGTAAAAAATCCAGTGAGCGTCTAAAAGCTCGGCAATTTATCTAATTCCTGTTGGGCAATTTATTTCATTCCTATTGAACAATTAGGTGTCAAGGTGGTCAATCAGGACAATGAGCCAAACTGAAAGTAATAATTAAGAATTTATTCATTTATGCAACAGAGTAAAAGCAAAAAGAAGCACTGGCTCCCCAGTGGTCCATTAAACAGGACACTAGGTGAGGTTAAGGAGTTGTAGTGTGTACAGGAGAGAATCTTCTTGCAGAAGAGCTCCTAACAAAAGGCTCCTGCCCTTTATGGATGCTCTTCGGGTCCACAAGGGACAGAAGACGGAAAGTGAAGGGCTAGGAGCAAAAAGAACCTGTTAGAAATGGAGAAAAGCGGGGCCAGGGATTTAGCTCAGTGGTTCTGCCGATGGCCTCGAAAGCGCAAGGTCCCAAGTTCGATCCTGGGTACCAAAAAAGAAAGAAATGGAGAAAAGGGCTTAAATTAGGTGCCTGTGGGAGGAACTCCAAATGGAGAAGGAAATAAGTTAGTGTGAGCATGGCTAGCAACAGGGGTCAGGAGAGTCTGTGACTGCAACTCTCTCCAGAAAACTGCAATGCACTGGCCATGCATCAAGTCTGGTAGGGTAGGGAGCTTCCCTTCACGAGGCTAGGCAGGCAAAGCCTAGTAATTAAGGCTAGGCCATAAGATTTTGGACAGGAGCTGGGCTTCAATTCTTTTTGTATGCTTCTCCTCCCACTTAATAACTGTTTTGAGAGAAATTCCCCCACCCCACCCCACCCCAAAAAACCTACACTAGAACCACACAAGATAATCTCTAATTATAACAGGGGTTGGCTACCTATAGCTCTCGGTCCAAAATGGGTCTGTGGTTGATCACCCATCAGCAGCAATAAGACTGAATTCTATTGTCACTTGCCTCCTTATTATGTGGGAAAACATTTATTAGGAGTCCTACACTGTTAGAATCATTGGTGGCAAGTGGTGATCTCATCTACTATTTATAAGTGAAAGGTCAGGAATTTCCACACTCCAAGTGCAATCTCCAATGTACTTATATACAAGGGTGCACACAAAGCTCTAAAACCCATTTCAAATGATTTTTCTGTCTTCTCCACTGATTTTTTTTTTTGGTGGGTATTTTTTCAAAGCAAGCTAAAAATGGATAATTTTTATGTTAAATTGAACAAAATAAAGCTGACCTCAATAAAATCCAATATTGCCTCAAAGCTAAACGCTGATTTTGTCTTACCTCGCACCATTAAAAAGATGTGAGAATATCAAAAAAGTAAATGAACAAGAAAAGAAAAGACAGATCGGAAAGAAGCATAGACAACTCTCAGTTGGGGAATAATCTCTGATGCATTTACCACAGCCTTTGCCTTTTCTTAGCTTGTTCTGCCCACTCCCCGTGGCCCACTCTTGGCCCCCCAACACTAAACAAAGGACGCCGACATCAGACAACTAGTGCTTGGCCTAAGAGCTCACAATCAGTGAGCATTTAGGGGATGCAACCGAGTCTGGGGACCACAACATCCCACACCAGGAAAGGAAGGGCCAAGGTGAACTCCTTTGACAGCAGTTAAAAGAGAAAAAAGTCATAATTATTTAAGACCCACAGAGGGAGAAAAGCTTCCTTTCTGTGTTTTTCTCTTAGAGATCCCCGCTCCCAGTTAGAAACTAGAAATGGGAAGTGCAAGGGATCGGAAAAGAAGCTAAGAGGAGCTGAGGTCTTGACACCCTTGTCCTGGGTCGTGTCCGCCACCCCCCCACACGCCCCCCCGCGAGATCGAAGCCAACCTGACTCTCCCTAAAGGTCACTCCACCTCGCACTCAGGTTCCTGAAGGTCTCCGTACTCACCTGGGGCTGGCAAGGCGCGGAAGATGCACATCTCACGGCCATGGCGCCGCGAAGGCACCGAGCTCACGTCCGCAGGGTCGGCGCGGCGACTGGCTGAGAGCGCAGGCGCGGCGCTCGGGAGTCCCGGGAATGGGATCCGACTAGAAACAAGCTCCCGGCATCTGAGGGCCTTGGTCGCCTCCATGAGGCTCGCGGGTCCACTCTAGAGGCCTTGCTCTGGCTCATTCATTCGATATATTTTGAATGTCTACAAGGTACTGTATAAAGCCCTATGCTCCTGTTTCTTAATTTCTTCAGGCTGCTCTGACAAATGCATATACGGTGCTAACAATCACTAGTGCATAACAGGCAATCAAAAAGCTGTTACCTCTTATTAATTGCTGTTTTGAAGTGACAGGATCCTATTTTAAGATGAGTAAAGTGACGCCTAGAGATGTTAAGGAACTTAGCGTCACATAGCTGATTAAAAGTTAGAGGTGGGCCGGGGATGTAGCTCAGTGGTTCTGGTGCCTGCCGCTCAAGCGCAAGGTCCTGAGTTCGATCCCCGGTACCAAAAAAAAAAAAAAAAAAGAGGTGGGATTTGAACACAAAGAGTCAGGTTGTTGTTGTTGTTCTGTTTTGTTTTGGTACCAGGGATTAAACTCAGGACCTTGCACTTGCCAGGCAGGTGGCAGAACCACTGAGCTAAATCCCTGGCTCCCCAGGAGTCTCAATACCAGACCTACACTTTCAATTCACTTCTGCTTCCCAAATTACAGATATTTTAACATTTTATGTAGACACAACTAAGGGCCAATGAAAGTAAAGTCTTTACTTTGGATGTGGAACATGAGAAAATGGCTCATAGGAAATAAGCTTTTGCTTTTCATATAGGAACGCCAGAGGAATCAGAGTTGGGAAGGATTGAAGTCGCTTTTTCCAGCTGAAACTCACGTGAAGAAGGGAGGGGGAAAACTTCCTGAATGCTAATCCCAAATTGAGGATGTTCTTGGTTCAGATAACCCATTATCTGAACTTGCTCCATTTTGTGCTTCTCTTAAGGTATTCAGCTCAGTCAAATCATGCAGACAATCACATCCATCACCAGCCACATAAATCCTTAAGAGAGAAACAGACTCTGAGAGAAGGCTACCTGAAGTTGCAGAGCAGTCGGGGGTGATTAGTGCTTTATTCATTACCTGCAAAACAAATAGACCTTTCTGCCAAGAGCCCAAGTTTAGATTGTGGAATGCAGTTAGGACTTAGATAAGCTATTCTCCACAACCACACACCTCAAATTATAACTTTTCCCATTTACCTCAAATGGGAGCTTCCTGTAAAAAAGGAAGAAATTAATTTAAATAAGAGTCATCGAGGAGGATTTCATTGAACAGGTGGGATTTGAACTTGTAGGTAGAATATGGACACATAGAAAATGTGGAGACAGGACAGAACACGGAGCAAAGGGTAATTTGTCAAGAAAATATAAAAGGAAAGACATGACACATGTTAGCATTGGTAGCTTATCTCTGCTTCCTACTACTTGTATTCTTAGACATCATTTAGCCTTTTCTGAGCATCAGTTTTCTCATCTGTAAAATGACATAATCATTAATTTATTTTTGTTTTGTCTTGTTTTGGCATCGGGATCGAACTCAGGACCTTGTGCTTGTGAGGCAGGCGCAGTGCCACTGAGCTAAATCCCTGGCCCAATCATTAATTTATGAAATCATAACCATACCAAATATGAAGGATTCAAAGATGAACCAGCAAGGCCTTTGACTTTAAAGTAGTTTGCAGCTCAGAGAATAGAACATGCAAACAAATACAATAGAAGAGACAATATATACAAGATAGTATGGGACAAGGAACATCTAAATCTGCCTGAGGACTTCAGGTGAAGATGGCCCCTGACCTGTCCATCATTTCCTTGTGTGCCAAGTCCTATTCTAGGCACTGGAGATAGAGTAGTAGACAAATTGCAAAATTTTAAAAATCTCTGTCTTAGTAGAGTTTGTATCCTAATGCCAGAGACAGACAATAATTAAGTAAAATATGTACTATGTTAACTATTGAATTGAGGAGGAAAGGTAAAGCATGGAAATGAACTATAGAGATTTGTGGGAAGGGATTATTGGCATTCCAGATGGTCAGAGATGGCCTAAGTTCTGTGACTTTCCACTTGAAACCCGATGGATACAGGGGATCCAGTCCTGCCAATGGGAGGCAATAGGAGACGGGAATATAGAGATTTTTTTCATTGCCAATAAAATGAGAGTGGGGAAAGGAAGATAGGCAGAGGATATTTCAGACAGAAGACACAATGAAAGGCAGTACAATGAATAGGAAACTCTGAGTAATTCAGAATTGCTGAAGTATGAACTGCTTGGCAGAGTAGGGAACAGCAGAAGTCAGTTATTTTAACTCCAATAAGTGGGACAAATACTATACACCAGGCTGTTCACAAAAACTGGGAAAGCCCTTATATATAATGGTATACTTTTCTTATTTCTCTTGTCTTTAACATAAGAAATAATTATCTATCTATTATGAAAGATAATTATACTTGATATTTTAGTATCTTTTATATACATTTTGGAATATCATAAAGGCAGAATTTTTGAAATTGAATTTTAATCCTGTTAAAGCTCCTTCTTACCTCAAGTAATAGGCCTGGCAGGAAAGTTCTGTCCTACCTTTCTGATCTTTTCTTTTTCAACTCTTTCACCTCCCCCTATCAAACAACAAAATAAAATCATATCCTTGCCTCCTGCAGCTAGTCTACCAAAATCTGATCCTATTAGATGTCAGCATCTATGCTCAAGCAGTCATCGAAGAAACTTTCCAACAAAGAAAACTCTCCCTTTCTTAGAGAATTTTTGGTGAATAAGCCCTCTCCTTCCATCATGTACTTCCTCAAGAAAAAATATTCGCAGGAAATTTTTCTACATAACTTGTACATTTTTCAACATAATTTATGGGGGCCTTGTTCCACAATACATCTACTAAATTTTCTGTATCTATTCCTCAGCTGATGGACACTTAGTTTATTTCCATTTATTGGCTCATTGTGAATGGTGAAGAGTTAATTGATTCCCAACTCTCACAAAGCCAATCCAGGGAGCACTGAGGAGCAGAACAGCATAAGCCACGCACCCAAATTATTTAAAAGGATAATGCGAGAAGTTAGGAAACAGATCAAAGAGGTACCCAGCAGGACCACAGAAGATATAACTAAACAGATACTAGAAGTAACAATTATAATGATGTAGGAGCTTTCAGAACGCACTAAAAAAAAAGCTAGATAAGCTAAACAAAATGATAGAAAATATGAGTGACCAGCAAAGAATTAGAGTCTAAGAAAATGTTTCAATCAGAAATCCAGGAGATTAAAGATTATTTTGAAAGTACAGGTAGCAGAAGTGATCCATGTAAGAACAGAATTTCAAAACTAGAAGACGAAGATGTCTTCAGAGACAAACTACTCAAATACACCTTAAAATCAATGAAAACATGAAAATATATCTGACAGCTGTTAGGTGATGTGAAGAAGACTAAGAACAATTGGAATAAGTGAAAATCAAAAGACAACAAAAATGACATAAAAACTGTTAATAGAAATAATGGGAAAAAAACTTTCCAAATATAGGGAAAGAAATAAACATACAGCTAGTGAGCCATATAGAACCTCAAATAGCCATGAACAAAAGAAACTCTCTGTACCAGAAGTTCATCAAAGTACCAGAAGTACATTACAGGGGCAAAATATTAAAAGCTGTTAGAGAAAGGCAATGAATCACATATAAAGCTATTTGAATCATGGCAGACTTTTCTACAAAAAGTTTGAAGGTCAGAAGGGCTTTAGCAAAGATTTCAAGCCCTAAAAGATAACAACTTTTAACTCCAACTTATGTGTTTTGCAAATCTTTCCATCAAAATTGATGGAGACATAAGATATTTCCATGACAACAAGCAAGCACCTCAAGAAATTCGTAACCACCAAACCAGGATTACAAAAAATTTTCAGGGATATCCTAGAAAGATAAAATGAAGCCAACAATGCCAATAACTCAATAACAATGAATATACATGCCTGAATGAGCAGATATGAAAAAGGGGAAAAAAATGAGGAAGGCAGCAACAGGAAAACAATGCAATGACAGGAATAAGTCAGAACATCTCCGTAACAACTCTCAATGGGAATGGTCTCAATTTCCCAATCAAAAGACACAGATTGGCATAATGGATTAAGAAACAAAACCCAACAATATGCTGTATACAAGAAATAATTTGATTTTAAAAGCTCAAAGATTTAAATCAAAAATTGAAAACAATATTTTATGCAACAAGAACCCAGAAAAAAGCAGAAGTACCCACCCAATTTCACATAAAGTAGATTTCAAGCCAAGACAGTTCAGAAGAGACAGAAGGTCACTACATATTGGTTAAGGAAACAGTTCAACAGGAAAACACAATAATTATAAACATATATAAAAAATGCTGGTGGGCCAAACTTCATAAGCAGCACTAATAGACTTGAAAATTCACATAAACACTAATACAATTGTAATGGAGGTCCTCATTACTTCACTGTCACAAATGGACACATCAACTAGACAAAAAAACCAACAAAGGAATATCAGAGTTGAACAAAAACTTCAAACAAATGGACTTAATTGACGTCTACAGAGTGTTCCATCCAAGAACAAAATACACATTCTTCTCAGATGCACAGTAATCCCTGTCCCTGAATAGGCAGAACCAATATAATCAAAATGGTCATACTTTGAAAACTGTTCTACAGATTTAACATGATCCCAATCAAAAATACCAATAACATACCTTGCAGAATGAGAGAGAGCAACCCAAAATTTCATATGGAACCAGAAGAGACCTAGCATAGCAAAAACTTGTCTGGGCAACAAGACAAGGCTGGAGGCATCACAATCCCAGATTTCAAGTTATACCACAAAGCTACAGTGATAAGAACAGCATGGTATCAGCAAAAAGCAGACTTGTGGATCAAAGGAACAGAATAGAGGATGCAGAAACAACACCAGGCACACTCAGCTTTGACAAAGAAGCCAGATACTTTTGCTGGAGGAAAGTTAGCCTCTTTAACAA